ATGAACCTTGCCGTACTGCTTACACTAGCCTCACGTGTTATCCAGACTCGGAGTGTTGCTCTTCATCACCTCACCAGACCAAACTTGAATAACCCGATTGAAGAATACACTGTATACATATCACTGTTTTTTCATTGTCTCTATCTTGTTTCTATCTTGCCCTCAAGACGCCGAGAAGATGTCCCTGGTCAGTCATTTCTTATCAACTATGACCCGTCAGAAACTGAACCACTTATTTCTGAACATGTGCAAACTTATGGTGGTGTTCAAGTTGACCATACCCAAGTTGAGATTGCTGAAGATGGCTCCAGCTGCTTGTCGAAGCTTTCATTTTATTGGGCTCAACCAATGTTGAGCCGAGGTACCAAGGGAAAAATTGATTCAGTGTTAGATCTTCATTTTCTCCCTCGAAGACTTCGCACATGCACAATTGACCAAACATTCAACAATACCCTAACAGAGTGTTTATTGAGCCACCAAAGGTCTCAAGGCCTGACTGATCCTTTCTGGGCTAATAGCGAAGAATCTTTCTCAAATACTGAAGCAGTTCCACCAGTTGGTATACGAGATAGGTCTACCCAGTCTTTCTCTAAGAATGCCTTGCTAAAATCTCTCTATAAAGAATATGGTAAGGAATACTTCCTTACTGGATTGTTGAAAGTGGTGGCAGATCTCTTTAGTTTTGCAGGACCAGTTTTATTGAACTATGTCATCTCTTACATGGAAAACAAGAAAGCGAAGGAAACGGATGGCATTTTTTATGCTTGCTTGCTATTTTTAACCACCTTATTTGGTACATTCTGTTCATCCCAGTTTAATTATCGTATGTCCGTTGTGGGTTACAAGATCAGAGGAGCTCTCATCACAACAGTCTATAAGAAATTGTTGTCTGTCAGTCATGTGTCATTGTCAAAGTTTAGTGCTGGGGAGATAATCAATTTTCTGAGTACGGATACAAATCGGATTGTTAATTTTTGTCCAAGTTTCCACAATTTCTGGAGTTTGCCATTCCAAGTTGCTATTGCCTTATTCCTACTTTACCAGCAAGTGGGTCTCTCATGTCTGGCAGGAGTAGCATTCACACTACTCCTCATTCCTATCAACCGATGGTTAGCACTCAAGATATGTGATCTCAGTCAGCTGAACATGTCTCAGAAAGACATTCGTGTTAAGGTTAGTCTTGAAATTTCATCCTTCAATTATCTTCTTTTTGTACCTATTTTATAGAAATTTTATCTGTATTTTGGTATTTAAATGCAATTTAGTTGTTTACAATATTTTTGAATAGTTCTGTCTGTCAATAATGCTGGCATTAATTCTTGATCTCTCTCTTCCTGATTTTCAACAACATACAAATTAGGTGTCAAAACTTGTTCATATAAATGTTCGATCAAAATTTTCATGATTTGGTAGTGAAACCATTAAACTCTATTTTTAAGTGCTAATATTTCTTCATTCATAGCTCTGTGAACAATGTTCATCTTCCTGCATCTATATCAACACTTACCATGCATGTGCCAATTTCAAATTCTTCTGTGAGGAGATATAAAGTGCTCCTGTTCTACTTCCAAGGCATACATATGAAATTAATATTTTGCAGAAAATAGACAAGTATTAAATGAACAATATTTTGAATTATTCATATATCCACTATCTGTTCACATGATGAATGTATTTGGGAAATTTTGGCATCTAGTTACTTCCTCTATATGATTTTAGTATTTTTATATCACTATAGATGTGTTTGGAAGGTTTTATATATTTGTTTAATAAGTTTTAGTTGGGATATGGTGACTTAATCTTACTTATTAAATAACTAGAAATAAGTTGAAAGTATGGATTAAATCTAACAGAGTGATTAAACAAAGAAGTAGGAAAATCTTTATAAATTTGTTTTGCTTTGTATTTTGCTTCATCAGAAATTTTCAAAGTGGAATAATGTGGTTTATGTTTCAGTTTTTACATTCTATATTTCTTTTATTTTCACTGTAAGGCTTGACATGTGAGCTGTTGGATAAAGGTTTATTTTCTTTTATGTGGTCAAGGGAATAGACATACCAGAGATGTTAATGCATGAATAGATGAAAAAGAAACTGTTCAGAAGATTGAGTAACTCCAATGTCAGCTCTCATTATGTTTCAACTTGAATTTAAGCTATCGTTAACCAAGTAAAACAATGACAATGAAGAATGCCTTGGTTAGCTCTTTTAACCGTCCAGGTGAGCAATGACAATGAGAAGTTTGATACTGGCCCTCTTTCCTGGCCAGAAGGAAATTTCTGAATTGGAATATTTATTCAAGATACTCATTTAAAAAAAATTGTTAGTGGGTTAACAAGCCATAAATTAATTGCAGGAAGCAAATGAATTTGACCCAGTTCTAATTTGGGTTGGTCTGTTATTGCAATGCCTGACCATGAGGATAATTTTACAGAGAAACATAAATTCAGATATGGGATGGACATCCATGACAAGTTTAAGAGCTTAATATTGGATTGGAAATATACTTCCCACAAAAAATATGTATAAAGTTGTGCAGGAACTTTGTTTCCAACCCAATACAAGTAATCTTTTATATAACTTACAATATAAATAAAACAAAACAGTCAGCAATTGAATTTGGTTGCCAGTTTGAGAGAAGAAATAGATGTTCCAAATGTAACCAGTCCCAGATAGGCAGGAGCAAGTTAGACAGCAGAGCCAGTTTAAAATTAGTTGCAGGGAGGCAAACTTGAGGTCTGGAGCAGTGAGCTGCTGGGAAAGAAAGACTGATAATTTGCCTCAAGTAGTTTTGACCTGTGAGCAATTAAGATAGTGAAGTTGTTTCACTCTTATGCTATCTATCGCTGATTACTATAATAACTTCCAAATGAGAATGTTATCAGGAAATACAGCCTCGGCATGGCATAAATTGGAGAAAGGCATCATAACAGGATGTACAATCTCAGCGACCCTCTTCTGTCTAGCCATGAACATGTTAATTAAAGCGGCAGAAACAGAATGTAAAGGGCCGGTCACCAGATCTGGATTAAGGCAACCTCCTATAAGAGCCTACATGAATGACATGACAATAACTACTACATCTGTTATTAGCGTGAGATGGCTGCTAAAGGGGATTGAAAAGCAGATCACATGGGCCCGAATGAGCTTCAACCTCGTGAAATCAAGGTCACTCGTTTTAAAGAAAGGTAAAATATTAGATAAGGAGCGATTCAGAATATCTGGGGGGAAACATACCAACAATTAAGGAAAAGCCCGTAAAAAGCCTTGGAAAACGTATAGATCACTCTCTAAAAGACGCAACAGCAATCCAAGAAACAAAAGACAAACTAGAAACTTGGTTAAAAAGAGTTGACAAATCCGTCTTGCCAGGCCGATTTAAAGCTTGGATTTATCAGCATGCCATTCTTCCTAAAATCTTATGGCCATTGTCGATTTACGAATTTACGTCTTCTCATATAGAACAATTAGAAAAAAGAATTAGCACACGACTAAGAAGATGGTTAGGTCTACCAAAGAGTTTGACCAGTGCTGCTCTATACGGCAACACAAATGCTCTGCAACTTCCTTTCAAATGTCTAGTAGAGGAATACAAAGTCACAAAAATTAGAGCAATAACGCAGTATGAGTTATCCAAAGACCCAAAGGTGGCTGGAGCAGGCATTGAAGTCTACTCAGGAAGAAAATGGAGAGCAGAGAATGCATTGCATGTCGTTAAAGAAAGGCTCCGCGAAAAGGCCATATTAGGCGCCGTAGCTACTGGACGAGCTGGCCTAGGGTTCTTTCCTACCATTCGGGTGGACAGAGCCAAAGGTAAAGAAAAGAACCTTTTGACACAAGAAGAAGTACATAAGGGTGAGGAGGAGAAAAGGGTGGCAAAGATGGTAGGACTAAGGCAACAAGGTGCGTGGACCAATTGGGAATCCATGATTTATAGGAAAATCAAATGGTCGGATATATGGAGAAATGATATCAACATAAAGTTCCTGATTCAATCAGTATATGACACTCTTCCCAGTCCTACCAACCTCCATCGATGGTATGAAACAGAATCGCCACTATGCCACTTGTGTTCGCGTCCAGGAAGCCTAAAACATATTCTAAGTAGCTGTAAGACAGCACTAGCGGAAGGCCGGTATAGATGGAGGCATGATGAAATCTTAAAAGAGATAGCAAAGATAGTTAGTATGGCCATCAGCACCAATACTTTAAACACAGATAAAAGAGCCATAGAGTTTCATAGAGCTGGTGAGAAACCCAAGAAAAAGGACACGAACATAGCAAATACTCTTTCACTAGCAACAGACTTATTAAGGGTCGACTTAGGGAAAAGACTAAAATTCCCTGACCACATCATGCAAACATTATTACGCCCGGATTTAGTATTCTACTCTAACAATATTAAAAAGGTAATGATGTGGGAACTGACAGTACCTTGGGAAGAGCATGCAGAAGAAGCCCACGAATGGAAGATGTTAAAATATGATGAACTATTAGCGAGTTGCAAAAACAATGGGTGGAAATCAAGCTGTTTGCCAATCGAGGTGGGTGTAAGGGGTTTTGCTGCAAGGTCCCTATGCAAAGCTCTAACTGATATTGGCGTAGTAGGTGCTAACAAAAGAAAGGCGATTTGGACCATAACTAATACAGCAGAAAGGACAGCAAAATGGTTATGGATTAAGCGTGATAGCTCTTGGACATCAATGTAACAAATAATTATCAAACCGGGTAAATTTGTAAATATTTTTTTAATATAATTGCAACATGGCAATATTATAAACATTTTTTAAAAAAACATTTATAATTTTTTTTTTTTTTTTTGTGTGCGAATGTGAGTAAATACACGAATTGAATTGTAACAGTACAGCCAAAGAATATATCTTGTCAATTTGTAAATTGTATGATTTGTAAATATGTTGTTTTTATGTTAAACCCGTGTTATATGCGGTACCTTTTAAGTTACTATTTACCTTTTTAGCAGTTCCAGCGCGACACATCTCGTAAGACTTTTTGTCCATTATTCTCATACATCTTTTTATTCGAATGCAAGACCTTTTATCTATTTTCTTTATTCGAACGTAAGACCTTTTTTGTATATATATATATATATATATATATATAAATTTTTTTTTTTTTTTGAATGTATGACCTTTTGTCTAATTTTTTTTTTTATTCGAACGTAAGGTCTTTTGTCTATTTTTTTTGTTTTTATTCGAACGTAAGACTTTTTGTCTATTTATTTATTTTTTTTTATTCGAACGTCAGACCTTTTGTCTAATTTATTTATTTATTTTTTTTTAAATTTATACAAACATTTCGCATTTTTGGTATATTTTAAATTGGAATCATAACGCATATATAGTGTATTTATAGTGTTTTTCCTCTTGATCATTGCCATATATTGTTTGTATATATCATTTTTATTTTATTAGTTTGTCATCGGTTTTTAGCGATATATATAAATATAATTTTAAAAATTATTTTTTTATTCGAACGTAAGACCTTTGTCTAATTTATTTTATTTTTTTTTTAAATTTATACGCACATTTCCCATTTTTGTATATTATTTGTATTAAGAAACAGGCTAAACGATAAAATGTGATAATAGTGTTGAGTACAAGTATCCCTGCCAAAGAAAAGAAAAAAGTACAAATAAAATAAAAACGGCAAATAATTAAACCTTAAAATACTTAAGGAAATAGGGTAAGATTTAGGAACATTAAGATTACCTCCTCAGTTATCCATCGAAACTGCAACCCACCGAAATAAGAAAAGAAGCCAGTCGCCACTGCGGGCCATTTAAAAATTAATCCGTGCAGCAGATTGGTTGTTACAAACATCCAATCTGATGCGCGGAATATGTGGTCTTTCTTCCTCTTATTCTTTAAAAAGGCCAGAGTAGCTGTTAGCGTTTAATCAGAAGGGGGAATCAGGGGTTGATCTCCCCTGATTGGGTCGATTTGGTGATGGGGAGTATGATGTTGAAAGACCCGAAACTCCCTGATGAACAAAGTCAAAACATCACTGACGACCCCCTTGCGCGCCTACTTAAAAGCGTATTTTCGAATTTCTGGTAAAAGACAGTTGAAAAATTTAATATATTTTTATCTATCCATTCTAATACTTGAACATATGGGCAGCATTTTTGGCATATGAGGCATTTTTATTTTAAAGGTAAAAATGACATACATTTAAGAATACTTGTGCTGTTTATGAAAAAGATAGTGTGAATGATTCAATATGTTAGAAATGGTTTCCAGCAAAGTTTCATGTTGGAGATTTCTCATTGAACAATCTTCGTCAGTCATATAGACTAGCTGAGTATGTGTGATCAAATGAAAATATTACTTAAGGTTAATCAGTATTATACAACAAGAGGGAAAGTCAACAGACTCAAAATATCCAGATCAAACATTGGAAATCATTTACACTAGCTTGGTTATGTTAGTCATTTTGTTGTTTAGCTTCCATGCAATTTAAGCAAAAGAAATGCTAAAATAACTCCTGGGACATATTCCTATGTGCAATTTTTTAAACAGATTGTCACAGAAGTGGATGTTTTATAACAATGTGAAATGCAAGAGAAATGAACCACTTCTCATTATATCAAAGATAATGCTATGGAAGTAGTTATATATTTTTTTAATCATTTCTTCCAAGCAAAGCAATAAAGCCCCTAAGACACAAGGGGTTACTGAATGTGTAAAAATAAAGGAAAAAGAAAACCTTATCATGGAGAGAGAACAACAAAAGAACAGGAACTAAGAACATAATATATAACAATTGACATTGCATTTAAATTTTTGAAGATCAAAGTTGGCTGGAAAGTAAGAGGCTGGAAGAGAGTTCCACAAGTGAGAAGTGCAAGAGAAGAAACTGTTAGAAAAGAACTTGTGGTTACATCTCGCCATTTCAACTGGAAATATGATGAGACCTACCTGCCAATCTAGTCTTTTTCTTCTATATTCTGTGACCATTCAGGACATTGGTGATCATGGCTCACTACAATTTCCTGTTCTTTGTAACACCTAATAATTTTTTTTCTACTATACCTTGTTCCACCATCATGCTAGGTAGGTTGTGTATTGTTTTTCTCTTGTCTTCAATCTGTCCCGTGAGTATCAAATTTTCCAAGCCCTTTCCTCATTATTTACTCTAGAAATTTCTCTTCCTGATGTTAAGCATAAGTGTCCTTTTTGTTACTATTTTCTCTCATTTGAGGTGAATAAAGAAAACAGTAACCAGCGAGTAAATTCAAGCTCTCCCAGCTGGTATTTCAACCTTGAGTCGTTCCTTCTTGAGTTCTGTCTCAAAATCACACTAACTGCCCGTTCTTGCCGTCGACCGTGAACGTCCCTCGAAGAACTCCCCGACTCGGAAAAAAGTAGTTGCTTTTATAGTTGTTCATATACCCATAATCCCTTGCATCTTCATGTGATCCCATAATGCATTGCATCTTTATTGCATAAAAATGCAATGCCAGTCCCCCCTCATTCTTTTACGTTATCTGGCCGAGGATGGATTACGGCAGAGCGGTAAGTGCTTTTTTCTCTCCCTCATTTCAACTGCAGTAGCTTTACATGCTAAGCAAATACGGGCTCTTTTTTGGCGGGGACAAGGCAAGTCACGACCAGTTGTGCTCATCCCAGGTTCTGTCTCATGTCTGCCACATCATTGCTAACATATTTGGTCTATGTTATTCTCAGTATCCTTCTGTAGAACAACATTTCTATTGGTTCAAGCTTCTTCTTCATTTGTGAGGAGATTGTCCAGCATTCACTGCCATATAGGAAGACTGATATTACTTAATAGTTCAGTACTTTTTTCTTTATAACAAAATCTTCCTGTTTCTTAATACTTTGCTTAGCTTACTTTGCTATCCCAGTGCACCTTTGTATTTCAGTGTCACACTTTACATCTTCTGTTAAAACAATTTCCAGATATTTAAATTATTGTACTTGTTTCCTTTTGGTATCTTCTATTTGTAATTTACATGTTGGGCTGTTCCTTTTACTAACAACTATGCATTCTGTTTTCTTGCAATTGATGTTTAGTTCTTTCTTCTTAATCTCCTTCAATACCTTCTGTAGGAATTTCTGTAGTTTCCTTTCAGTGTCTGCTATCAACACTGTATCATCTGCATAACTTATGTTGTTAAAATTGTGGCTGCCAATAATGAAACCTGGTAGGATTTTTCATTCTCTCAAAATTGCCTCACTGTATAGGTTGAATAAGTCTGGTGAGAAGACACATCCTTGTCTTACACCTGTTTCTATTTTTATATATTTACTGAATTCATTTTCTATTTGTATACAGGCCGTTAGCTGCCAGTATAGTTTCTGAATTATACTAGTATCCTTCCCAAATATGTCAAAGTTACTAAGCAATTCCAACAGTTTTTGTGACATACTTTTTTCAAATGCTTTTGTATAATCTATGAAACACAAGTACACATTCCTTCTGAATTTGTATTGTTCTTTCTGGGCATAAATATCACATCCCTTGTTTCAGTGTCTTTAACGAACCCACATTGTTCTTGTCCTATTTCAGGTCAGATTCTGCTGTGCACTCTATTTATCAGGATTCAAATAAATTTTGTTATATGGCTCATTAGGCGGATTGTCCAATGGAGTTCACATTCATTTGCACCTGGCTCCTTAGGCAGTGTTATAAAAATGGATTCATAAAGTTGGGTACCAAAGTGGATAGCTCATCATAACAATTACCACAAAAATATTTATAGAAAAAGCACATAGAAGCTATGTTATTGTGGTGGGAAAGTGACTGAAGCTGAGATGCTAGGTCAGGGCCAATAACATTGCAAATTCTTCTATGGATTTTCTCAAGAAACTCTAAATACACAGCAGAATCACCAGACTAGATATGGCAGCAATATTCAATGCATGGATGGCTATTGGAATTAAAAGAGTCTTCTATTATGAGCTCCTTTTGAAGAAGTAATTAATCTGAACAAGTATTGCTCCCAACAATTTCATCAGGATAATTCTAAAGAAAATACTTCTTTATTATTCATGCAAAAATTGTTACAGCTTAGCTGTGGGAATTTTCACTCATCTCTCATATTTAATGGTTGTTGTACTTTCAGATTACATTTTTCTATTTAAATTTATTTAAAAAACATTAAATTCTCTAGAATATTGCAAAAGGGACCTAGAACAGTTCTTTAGTGAGAAAAATAAAAAAAAAATTCTGAGAGGATGGAATTATGAAGTTGGTTGAAAGATGACAAGATAGTGAAAGAAAAATGGTAAATGTCTTATTCAGTATTTATATCATTTACACTCAGACTATTGTCTACATCTTTGTTGTTATTATCACAGCATTTTGGCTGTTGTGCCCTTTGGCCTTCATCAGGGACTTGTCGATTTGGGTAACCTTTAGGGAATTTTAAGGTGTTCAGTAATGTCCAAAATTAAAAAAAATATCTCTTATGAATAAATATTTTAAATGCTGAAATGAGCATTTTGGCCAATTTAATTCAATATAGGGTTTCGATTAAATAATTTCAGATTGAATTGAGTGTAAAACACTCAAAATGAAAAAATTTGGTTTTTATTTTTTAATGAAAATACATGAAAATGAAATCATTAAAAATTACTCTATTTATTTATTCTTATATTTTGTTATTTCATTTAATTTATTTTTCATGTCCTTTCTTTCTTTTTATTGACAGATGATGAATGAAATTTTATATGGTGTAAGAGTTGTGAAATTTTATGCCTGGGAAAGTTATTTTCATGGCAAAATTAACCATTTGCGAGATGAAGAGCTTAACAGTTTAAAAATCCGAAAGTATCTTGATGCTGCCTGTGCCTACTTCTGGGCTACCACACCTGTTCTTATTGCCTTTCTTACCTTTATTACATATACTATGCTTGGCAATCAACTTACAGCTGGAAAAGTAAGTCACTTATTATATATATTGCATTATCAATACATAATAATCCTCATTTTTATTATTCTCTTTTGACATTCGCTATGTTTGAGTAAACTTGATTTGAAAAGAAAAATGTTGCCCAAAATATATGAAGATGAATATGTTTTGGCTTCTTGGTTGAGTTTGATGTTGTCATTTTTTTTTTCATAATGCCAAAGCTTATTTAGGTAATTCTTACAGATGTAGATATCAATAAGGTAAATAAAGACTGTATTGTCTGTTGAGAAAAGAACTTTAAATTACAATCAATGCATTGCTTTTTTTTATTGTACAGGTATGACACCAATTTTCCAGCATCTTTAGTTTTAGAACTATACCAGATTATCCATATAGTGGGACTGACAGAAGTCACATGATAATAATTCAGTTGGTTAAATGTCAATAGTGTCGGATTTATACCAAATTAATAGTACTGTAACAACCACATAATCAACTGATCTCATGCCCTAAACAACACCACTTATTTTCGTCACCCAGGGAATTAATCTGACAATCATGAAATTCTCATGCTTATTAATTATTTTGTCTTGATCAAAAAAGGTATTGGATAAATTGGTATTTCACTTGTATTGCTATAAGTCTAAATAAGTGTTGATTATACCAACTTATTTGCTTTGTCTTTTGAAGCCATTGTTTTATTGATGAGGTTAGAGTTATATAACGTTGATGTTTATTTTTCTCTTATAGTTTTCTTGATCAAGTAAAAGTTATATACTTCCATTTGTCAAAAGTGTTCATTCTTTTGTTCTATTTCATTCAGAAAATAGTAGAGGCAAATTTTTAATTTCTTAGGACATAAAAGAATTTCTCTCTCATGTTTAACTGATATTAAATGAAAAAAATACATTTTAATAGATCCTAAGAACTAGCTATTTGTATAATTTCCATCATATTATTTAGACTATTATACTGATATCTGATCTATTGATCAAGCATTTTTTTTAAACCAGTATCACCTCTTGCAAGGTAGTAAAGTCACAAAGGGTTACAGGGTGTGGAAGAATTAGAAAACAGAAACATTAATAATGAATGGAAAGAGGAAAGAGTAATCAGGGGGACAGTCAATAGCAATTGACATTGAATTTAAATTTTTGCAGATTAAAGTTAGCTGGAAAGTATGGAGCCAGAAGAGAGTTCCACAAACAAGAAGTACGAGAAAAGAAACAGCATGGAATTTACAGTACATCTATATATAAAGCATTACTTCTGAGGCATTTTAATATTTAGTATTAATTTATATGGTTATTTATTATTATATGGTATTATATAATTAAATTTCTGTAATTAAAACAACTCTGCTAATATGATTATAAACAGATAATCTATTTCAGAACTATTACTTCTTCAAATATCTGGTAATTATTTTTCATTATGTATTTTCAGTAAGACCTCAACTGGATCAGAACTTTGTGTTTATGCTCTGATACACCAGATTTATCCAATGCAAATAGTGTACTGCGGATAGCAATTTCAATATAATAAGCATTTCTAATTTGAATTTATACAAGTTTTTATTATTAAACCAGGTCTCAAATTGTTATTGCTGCATTATTAATATTTGCTCACATTAATTTATATAAAAACTTACCATTTACTACATTTTTTTTAACATGTACAGATTTTTCATTTACTATTAATAATTTCAAAATGTATACTTTTTTTTAGGTTTTTACATCATTGTCACTGTTTGTGATGCTTATTGCTCCTCTGAATGCCTTTCCTTGGGTGGTAAATGGAGTGATGGAAGCCTGGGTCTCACTGAAGAGGGTACAAAAATTCATCTATCTTGGCAACATTGACTATGACCAATATTATTTGACCTACAAATCAGGTAATTTCTTTACTGAGTCAATCATTTTCAACATATTGAGAATTTTTATCAAATTCTCCTTTTTTAAAATCATGTAATATTTTCATTTTTTTTGTCACATTTAAGTCTTTCATCTAAAATGTTATGAACTTTTTATTTAACTCCTTTTAGTTCATTTGCAGATTTTGCTGTTACAATTTACTTTTGGCTTTTTTCTTTTTACACATGATTACTCATAGTTTAATGATTCAAGGCTTAAAAAAAATTCTATCCTAACGATTTGGTTAATATTCACTCAAAAATAACTTCACTTACATGCACCTAACTGATAAAATAATGACCAAAGGCTATTCAATTTTTTGGTAATTATTTATATTAAAAATAACATCTTTTTTCTCTACAAATGTTGTTCATTCTCTGTTGTTTTAAATTCTCATAAAGCACAAATATGGAATAAAAATGGCTTCAAATACTATAAATATATTTTATTTGTAAACTTTTCTATTGTTAGTATACAACATTTTAATGTTTCTGTTTTTTTGGTCAATGTCCCATAAAATGATGAACAACTTTAAATTTATTGCAACTGGATTTATATATTACTAGCTTAAAAGCTGCCCTATCGGGCAATATTTAAGATAGCTCCTGCAAAGGGCTCTTAATTGGGACTTCATCATAATAGGTAGGGAGGAGTAGATGCAACAGGCAATGATAAACTACAGGAGAACTCAAAATTGATCACTGCATTTAAGTATTGCATTAATATTTAAGATTACCTTTTAAAAGTTCATCGATGGTTCTTCTGCTGCCACTTAATTTAAAGACAATTTGATGTATGTAGGTACTTTGTGTACAAACAATTATTTTTATTTTATGGGTGACTTTTGCTGGATTTCACAATTTTTATTATTCCCAAATTTGTTTCCACGTTATAAAAATTGTTATCACATGAAAAAAAATTAATCGCAAAAAATCACATTAAAAAATTGCAAAAAACAGTTGCAGTAATGAAAACTTGGGAATCCAAAATTTCAGGATTGTGGGTCCAGATCTGGTCTGGAATGTTTTTAATTTGCTCACAGTCAGCTTGATTCCAAAAATGGTATGATATGTTGGGCTACAGCTGCTAGGAGTAAAAGTATGACACATTGAAACACTGACATTATTATTTATTATATAGATTGAATGAAGAAATTTGATATGATGCCCTCCAAAAATGCTAATTATGATGTTAGAGCATGTGTGCAAATTTCATAAAGAAATATTCAATATGTCTCCATTATTGTTCTTATTACTGAATTTCAGTTGAGATGAGATTTGATTGTCTTCTGTTATTGTTAGCACTTCTTCCTGTTTGCAAATTCTTTTTGGAACTATTAGACAAAAAAGTTTACCTTTAAACACAAACCTTGGTTTATAATTTCAACTATATTTTCTTACAATAGAATATTGTTTTCAAATTGTTCAACCTATAGTTCTAAAAGTAAACTGAAATTTACAATGTATTAATCTTAAAATATTAAGCCCATTGGTAGACAGTAAAGAATTCTTTTTCTTTAGTGTCTAAGAACTTCTCCTCACTTGTTAGATTTTTAGCTTTGTCTTGACTATGACTCCTGTTTCCCCAGAGGCACCCAACTCAGAAGATTGTCTCAGTATCAGTGAGGGAACCTTTACTTGGAACAACTTTACAACACGAGATGAAAATTCAGATGCTGATGCTGATGTTGAAGAATCAGAAGTACCCAGAACAATGAAACTTATTGATATCAATTTGAATATCCGAAAGGTAGGACAGCATTATATATTTGTAATTTAGAAAATCTTGTGGCTACTCCAAAGACATGACAATGTCATGAGTCCAATTAAATACTTTTGATATTGAAAAATAATTTTAACATGAAATATGTCTTTTTATACTTATATATGTATATATTTACACGTATGTGTAGATAAGTGTTAAGTGGTGTTGGTAGAATTTTCTTTTTTGGAAACTTTGGAATAAAATGAACTGACTCAAAGGTATAAAATAAATAATATATTTTTATTTATTTTCTTTCAAGTGAGTCCTTTGGTATTTGGTGTAGCAAAAGTTTGTTTATAAGGTGGAGATTGGTAGCAGTCTGGAGAAATGTCTGGTAGTGGTGTTTGAGTAGTCAGACCATGATAGTGGTAGTAGTAATATTAGAAATAGGACAGTGTCAATCTACTGTGTTTTTCTTGGCTTTCATTAGCAGCTGACCTTTTAACTATTTTTTCACATGTCAAGCATGGCTGTTTTTTTTTTGTTCTGTCCTCTCTTGCATCCTTTTTCCTGCTTCTAGTTAAGTGGTATGAGCTTATATACATTTTGACCAGGCTCTGAGGCGAACATTGGTTTCAGCTAACATCAAAAGTCTGTAATTTTTTTGATTGGCCCAAATTATTTTAATTTTCTGGTATTCCTTTCTATTTCATTTTTTTTAATGGAACTTATGTGTAGAGCCTCACTGATCTTTTAGTATTTTTCAGTTACAAATAATTAGGTTCTGAGCCTGCAAACTTTCTGCATTTTTCAGCCAGGTTCAGTCTTTTCTTCCTTTTTTATTTGAGGGTTGCCTTCTTGTTAATTGAGAGAAGTATAAAAAGAGAAGTTTAGAGAGAGAGAGATAAGGGTTTTAGAGGAAAGTACAAATGCCTTATTTTAATTGGAATTCTTTTTATTTTTGTTTATATATTTTATTTTTATCAGGACTCACTACATATGTACTTTTTAATCTATGTTATTTTGAAGGGTATGTTTGTTGGTGTAATTGGAAAAGTGGGATCTGGCAAAAGCTCCTTGCTATCTGCTATTCTTGGAGAAATGTCTAAAAGCCAAGGACATATCCAAGTGACCAGCAGCTTGTGCAATAATGGCTTTGCCCTGGCACCTCAGAACCCCTGGATTCAGCACGATACCATCATGGCTAACATCATGTTTGGTCAACCATTTAATCTGAAAAAGTATGAAATGGTGGTCCTTGCCTGTGCCTTGGATGTTGACTTTAAGGTAAGATAATTTTATAGGCTTTCATCACAAGACTTTGTCTACATTTAACTTTCTGAAAGAATATCTATTCACAGATATCTGAGTCATATAGAGATAGAAAACTAAAATTGGTGCATGTGTAAAATTCTCTTATTTTTAACAGGAGTTGACTAAATTGGAGTTGTCTGTAATTTGTCTATATCTAAAATGTATTAAGAATAATTTGTAGTATCAACTACTATTTTAGAGTCTGTACTTAACTGTTTCAACTTCTTCTAAGGAATTTCTAGCCCTACTGCTATATTTCCACAAGCATTTTATAAAACAAGGCAATAAATGACTTTGTAAAATTGTGTCTTTAATTATAGGCTTTGTTATAAGATCCACTGATGTAAAGAAAAAAAAACTGTTAAGTAAAACCTTTTCAAATACTGTCAAATTTTAATGGATGCTTGCATATTCAGAAAGTGTCATTTTTAAAAGCAAAAGAAGAAAAATGTTTTACTGAAATAGTTGTTTGATAAAAATTATGAATACATTAAACAAACCACAAAATGGAAGTTATGGCAATTAATATTATGTCAAATTTAGCTTAAGGAAAAGGCCAACAATAATAGAATACTTGATGTGATAGCAACTTCCTATCACAATAGTCTATAAAACGGGAAGCTACTGTACTAAAGCTGCTATTCCTATAGATATTTGTTGGACTCTCACTCAGCACAAAGCCTATATATTTCCTTTTAAGTTGACTTGCAATGATACAAGTACTTGTTATTTATACAGAAATTGCATAACTTGAAACCAAAGACTGAATTTGAAAATAGTAAATAATTACCTCTTGGATGAATTTCTTTTCAACTGTGATGGTTTGGTTTATTTTTTTTAAATCCACCAAAACTTTTTCATAACATATGATGTAATTGCTATTAAATATCTGAAAGTTACTATGTAGTTGGTCTTGGTGGTGTGGGGAGACTATAAAGTCTTATCTTTAAAAACAGTAAGTGTTAATATTATTGTTTCTTAATCACCTTGATATTTTGTCAATTTATCTTTTGTATGTTCCTTATAGATTCTACCATTTGGTGACAAAACAGAAGTAGGAGAAAATGGCGTCACATTGAGTGGAGGTCAAAAGGCAAGAATCTCACTAGCCAGAGCACTCTATCAGGTATTTCCTTTGATTTCTCTTGAAATTTACCATTTATCAGTTTTTGCTCTCCTCTTTCTCTTTTCACACACACATATGATTGACTCTCCCACTGATTTCAAACATATGAGGATCCAACAACCTCATTCAATTTTTATGTCTGTGTTGTATGTGACACTTCAGTCCCACTAGTGACCTGCATACAAATCCACATATTGTGCAACAACGATGATCTCAGGACATTGCGACAAGAATATTTGCTGATGCTTTTCGCTGTTGTCTTTCAACACTTAGCCATTTAATACAACTAATTTCAAAATCACTGATATCACTCTGGCATAAATATCTTCAGTTATTTCTATCCAGGGTAACTCGCTCAAAGTTAGTATGAGGCACATTGACAGCTAAGAGGTTACTCTTTAGCTTGTCTTTATACCTGAGCCACAGCCGTCCAACACTCCTTTGTCCACTGTCAAGCTGGCTATACATAAGAACCTTAGGTATTCTGTCATCACTCATTCTTGCAACATGACCAGCCCAGCAAAGTTGTGACTGCATCAGGAAAGTCTCAATTCCACCAATGTTGCATTTTGTGTTAAGATCTGCATTGGACACCCTATTGTCAAAAGTATAGCCACAGATCGCACAGAAACAACTTTTGTGGAAGACATCAAGCTGATTGATATGAGACCTATCTGAACCATACAACAGTGTGGGCAAAACAGAATTCCTAAAAACTTTAGAGAAAGATGTGATCTCTGCATTAAAGAGAAAATATTAATAATCAAAGATAATAGACCTGATGAGTTACTGAATTAATGTTATGAAAAAAATAAAAAATAAAAACCAGTTTAAAATAACAAACTATACCTAATTTTTTTTATTAAAATTTATTTGAATTTGGTGATTCCAAAATAAAGCTCTCTATGAGAATTGTATTGCCTTATGTAAATTGCTTCAAAGATAAAATTATAAAGGTGTGTTTTTCTTCAAGCATTGTGATTATTGATGTTCTGCTTGATTCATTCTATAAACTTCTTTAGATGCAAATCCATATGGGGAAGGATTCTTTTTTTTTCTTCAGTGGTGTCAACCAGAAAATGTTAAAAATAATAGCTAACAGTCAAAAAATGTTGGTAAATATATTAATCAGACCAACACATTAGAGCTGAACATGATTTGTATATTTTATATGTAGAGATGGTCTCTTCCCTCTTTTTTTACTAAGCAAGAAAATTAACACTACCATTATGTGTGTATATATATATATATATATATATATATATATATATATATATATATAATAGTCATAAACATGATATTGATGATAACACTATTAATGTATATTACCAAATTACAAAAGCCTAAAAATGTGTAAATTGAGATTCAATCATAATCACTTAATGTGTTTTTAATTATGACAGAAAAGCAATATTTTCAATCTGAATCTGTTATCAGCCAGATTTCTTAACATATTTAATTTACTGTTGTGTACGATACACCTAATTTACATAAGTGGAGTACCGACCATATAAATATGGGTTGGTACCGGAAGACAGAAAAGAGATTGTAAGAAGAGATCGAATCGAGAGACTCTGCCCGACTGCGATTTAGTCAACCCATTCTGCAGGAACAGTCTTCCCAAGAATATACCAAAACTAACTGTAAATATTGTGTACCCTTTCCTTGTTTCAATACATTTTGTTTATGTACATTTTGTGTTGTATTATTATTATTCCATGCTTATCCAAGTTTCAACAATGGCGACGAGGTATAAAGAACTTTACGTTATGAAAAAAAAAAAAAAAAAAAAATTAATAATTAATAGCCTTCAACAATTGGGACAAGTGGAAGAACCCAGGCTGAAAAAAAAAAATCATTAATTAAAAAAGTCGAACATCTAATGGAGCGGAAAAGTATTCTGAAGTTTGGACAGTTAAAAACTAGTTAAAGGACGACTAAGCTTAAAGGAACGTTCACTCAGAAAAATCTGGAAGGTGGCGTAAACAAATAAAAGCGTTAAAAAAAAAAAAAAAAAAAAAAAAAAAAAGCTGGCCGACTAAAAAAAAAAAAAAAAAAAAGAAAAAGCTGGCCGACTAAAAAAAACATGCATGGAATTAAAAGGAGCACAAATACAACGTGTCGACTTTGAAAGGTATGCGAACTTGTATAAAAAAAAAAAATTTGTTTATTTTTTTTTTGTTTGGTTAACTCAACAATATTTTATAAAGCAAGACATAAAATTAAAAAAGGCATAAGTTGTTTCGATTTTTTTTTGTCTGCTTATAGTATATTCGTGGATACACAATTTAAAAGTATATTCTTTGTTGCATGAACACTATCAGCTAAAAATGGAGGAATTATCCAAAGTCATAGCTGAATTGTTTAAAGCCCAGCAGTTGAGTCAAGCTGAATTATTCAAATCCCAGCAGTTGAGTCTGCAACAACAAAGTGAACAGGTTGCCTTATTAAGAGAACAGCAATTAGCACAGCAGAATTATCAAGAAAGGCAAGAGGAGTTGAGTCAGCAACGTCAAAGGGAACAGGAAGAAATGTATGTCAAGGTTTTGGAAATTCAAAAGTTAACATTGGAGAAATTAAACAACATTCAGGCAAATGAAAGTAACTCTTCATATTCTAATAACATCATATTTAATTCGTTGGAAACTTTCAAATATGTGCCAGACGAAGGAAAAACGTTTGAAGCGTACTTTAAACGATATGAAGATATTTTCCACACAGACTGAAAACTGGTCGAATTCAAGAAAAGTCAGTCTATTACTAAGAAAGCTAGGTACAGCGGAACATAGCAAATTTGTAGATTTTATTCTACCGAGAAGAACAAATGAATTGGAATTCTCGGAAACAGTGAAAATTGCTAAAGGAGTTGTTTGGAGCAAATCTGTCGCTTTGGCATAGCGATGGTTATGCATGAATGTAGCTAAATCCGACGATCAGGATTACTTAACTTATGCATCTACAGTGAATAGACATTGTGACAATTTCAGATTGGCAGAGATTACGGTTGAAGAATTCAAGTGTTTAATTTTTGCTCAAGGACTGGTATCCAGTAAGAGTGCGAAATAAGGCGTAGAGTTTTCTCTAAACTCGAATCTGAACAAAACCTTACCCTGCAAAAGTTAGCAGAGGAGTGTCAGCGGGCCGTAAGTTTAAAGAAAGAGTCTCAAAAAAATTGAAGAAGCTGGTATTGCTTATATTAAAAAAGTGAAGAAACAGTCAAATTACCCATCAGAAAAAAAAATTGGATTAAAAATAAAGGCGTATTTTAAAAATAGACAAGAAAAATTAAATGAAAAAAATGAGGAGGGAAAAAAAAAATGGTTCCGCCATTTAATTGTTGACAGTGCAACGGAAGACACTGGGAGTTAAATTGCCCATATAGAAATAAAAAATGTTTCGTGTGCCACAAGAATGGTCACAAAGGGTCGTGTTGTAAAAGCGAAAAAAAGTCAATAGCGAATTAGACAAACAAATTCAAATATCAAATCAGATAGAGATTTGAGGAAGTATGTGACGACTGAAATATTTAAAAAGAATATAAAATTTCAACTCGATTTGGGTTCAGATTTAACAATAATGAACTATAAAACATGGAAAATTTTAAAAAGGCCTACAATAATGAAGTCAACGAAACGCGCTCAAACAGCGACTGGAAAGGAAATTAAATTTGAAGGCGAGGTTGTACTTCCCATGAAATTGAACGGGATAGTTAAAAAAATAAAAGTTTTCATTCTGAAAAATGGAGAAAACTTGATGGGTACAGATTTTATTGAAACATTCGAATTGTGGGATAAACCGTTAAACTCTTTCTGCAGAAAAGTAGAAAGTAATACAAAACAAGACAGGACATTAATGAGGAATTAAAAAAAAAGTTTCGGAAACTTTCACACCTGGTCTTGGAAGATGTAACAAGTTTGAAGCCAAATTCGAATTAAAGGAAAATACTATGCCAATTTTAAAAAGAAACGTAATGTGCCTTTCGCAAGTGTAGAGAAAATTAACGAAGAACTTGATAGGTTGGAAAAAATGGGAATTATTTGAAAGTAGAATCTAATTCATGGGCTGCGCCGATTGTGTGCATAAAAAGAAATCAAACCAAGTCAGAGTCTGCGTTGATTTTTCGACAGGGTTGAACTCGGTAATTAAGGACTACCATTACCCGTTACCGAGTCCGGAGGAGATTTTAACAAGCTAAATGGTGGAGTTATATTTTCAAAAATTGACTTATCAGATGCCTATCTCCAAATTCCGTCGAAGAGGAATGTTCGAAGTTACTAGGGATAAACACGCATAGAGGGTTATTCAAGTACAACAGGCTTCCTTTTTGGTATTAAAGTGGCACCTGCCATTTTTCAACAAGCTATGGACGTCATGCTGAATGATTTAGACTTTGCGTGCGCTTACTTAGGCGACATCATAGTAAGGGAGCGAATCGGTCGACCGAACATCGAGAGGATCTCAATCATGTATTTAAAAAGATTCAGGACTTTGGATTTAAAGTCAAAGAGTCAAAGTGCGAATTTCGTTTGGAGGAAATTAAGTATTTAGGGCACATAATCAACAAAAATGGCAGATGTCCAGATCCGGAAAGGTCCATTGCGATTAGAGACATGCCGACGCCCACTAATGTGGCGATGCTACAAAGTTTTCTAGGGCTTGCAAATTATTATCAAGCATTCATTAAAGAATGTACAATTTAAGAGCTCCGTTGAATGAACTGCTAAAAAAAAGACAAGGCATGGGAATGGACGGTAGAATGTCAGAAAGCCTTTGATGAAATAAAGAAAATGCTTACGTCCGACCTCTTTTAACCCATTACAATCCAAAACTGGATATTGTAGTGGCAAGTGGACGCTAGTTCATACGGGATAGGGCGTGTATTCAACACATAATGCCAGATGGTTCTAGAAAACCAATTGCACACGCGCCGAGAACTTTGCTCCCAGGAGAAAAAAGTTACTCTCAGATAGAAAAAGAGGCACTGAGTATCATTTTTGCCATACAAAAATTTCACAGGTACATCCACGGCAGACATTTTATCCTTGAAACGGATCATAAACCACTGATCACTATTTTTGGTTCAAAGAAAGGGTTACCCGTTTATACAGCAAATCGTCTGTTAAGATGGGGAACCATTCTTCTCAATTATGATTTTCACATAAAGCACCTATCATCCAAAAAGATAATTCATGCGGATAGTCTATCAAGACTAGTACCGAGTCAAGAAGAAAGATTGAAGAATCAATTATTGCAAATATCAGAGCAGATTATGAGGTGAAAAGCATGGTAAACAACATTGTAAGAGAGCTACCGGTTACGCTAAATGAAATTAAAAAAGAAGCTGAAAGCGATGATTTCATTTAGAAATTAAAAAGCAAAATGGTAGCAAATGACCAAAAAGTGCAGGAGATTTTTTTTCAATAGGTGATGGAGTTTTATTATATGGTGAGAGAGTAGTAATACCAAAGAAGCTGCAGAAAAGAATACTTGGGACTTTCATATGGGTCACCCGGTATTAAATAGAACAAAAAGCTTAATGCGAAGCTTTGTGTATTGGAAAGGAATGGATGTGGATATCGAAAACATGGTTCATCGATGTAAAGGGGTGTGCGTTAGCAGCTAAGGCACCACCTATAGTACACAAACCATGGCCTAAGACGGATCATCCGTGGACAAGATTACACATTGATTTCGCTGGTCCAGTAGAAGATTTTTACTACTTAATAGTGGTAGATAGTTTTACAAAATGGCGGAAGTACTACGCTGCAAAAAGCCTACGTCCAATACCACAACAACTTTTTTTGCATGAACTATTTGCACGCAGTTCGGTGTGCCAGAGTGTATTGTGAGTGACAATGGTACACAATTCACTTCTGAAGAATTTAAGGAATTTTGTGAGTTATATCAAATTAACCACATAACGACGCCTCCGTATCATCCGAGGTCTAATGGACTCGCAGAAAGATTTGTCGATACTTTAAAGCGAGCTCTGAAGAAAGCCTCAGGAGTACCAACAGAAAAGGCGCTTCAGCAATTCTTACAAGTATACAGAATCACGCCAAACCAGAGAACACACTCAAACATGGCACCAGCTGAACTAATGTTTCGCTAGGAAAGTTAAGTCAGTGTTTGACAAGCTTTTGCCAGGAAAAAATAGAGTAAAAAAATACCATGTATACAGCGAGAAAAAGATACACTCCCGGAGAGAAGGTGTTTTCAAGTGCTATAAAAACAACGTTGAGTTCTGGGAGCGAGGCATAGTGGACAAGAGAATCGGTGACCTGATTTACATAATTAAAGGGCTGAAGAATACTCATAAAAGGCACCAAAACCAACTTAAAAAAGATTACGGTATAGAGCAAGAAGAGTGTATACGGATGAGGACGAAGATCCCATTGATATAATGTATGATATGTTTCAGGTAGAACCTCCACAGAATACACCTGAACCAAGAAGATCCGGTAGGAAACGGAAGTTTGACGGACCCATTGGACGTGAATCCAAAACGGAAAAAATATTAAAATTAGGCAAATGGATCTACAAAGGAAATAACCATAATCATCAACCCATATAGGAAGCCAATTTGAAATCCAAAAGGGATTCCAAGGCTTGGGAGGAGGGTGTTGTGTACGATACACCTAATTTACATAAGTGGAGTACCGACCATATAAATATGGGTTGGTACCGGAAGACGGAAAAGAGATTGTAAGAAGAGATCGAATCGAGAGACTCTGCCCGACTGCGATTTAGTCAACCCATTCTGCAGGAACAGTCTTCCCAAGAATATACCAAAACTAACTGTAAATATTGTGTACCCTTTCCTTGTTTCAATACATTTTGTTTACGTACATTTTGTGTTGTATTATTATTATTCCATGCTTATCCAAGTTTCAACATTTACCATTTATTTTGACACTTCAGGAAAAAGATGTCTACCTTCTTGATGATTCTTTATCAGCTGTTGATGCCCATGTTGCCCAGCATCTGTACAAACAGTGCATCATAGGAATCTTAGCTGGTAAGACGAGAATTCTGTGCACACATCATATTAAGTATTTACAAGAAGCAGACATGATTGTTGTCATGCATGAAGGAAGAATAATTCAATCTGGTGAGTAGAAAAAAACTAATTAAGTAAAAGTAGATAAATAAATCAAGAAGGTTTCACTTTGAAATAGACATGATTCTTTGAACAACTTATTATAAATTCCAAGGTCATAATGGTTTGATAAGAAAGTTTTATCTCATTTGAAACTCACTCATTTCTTTTTTGAGAAAGATAGAATGTGCTTTCATTCTACAGAACACTGTATGCATATGACATTTGGATCAGCAATCTCTAATCTTCAAATGATAATCTACAAGATGTGTGGGTAGTGTAATGGTTAATGGTTCAGAAAGGAAAATTGGCAAGCCAAATTCAAATTCTTGCCAAGTTTGTTACATTCACTTTCACACAAATATTCTTGGAAAAATTATAAAACTGTCCCCCCCAAACACACACACATGAGACTGGAAGACTGTTATCTAGCTGTGACTAGCAACTAGTCTAGGAGAAGAAGAAATCTGAATTCCAAACTGTTTTGTATGTAACCTTGACAAGTTGCATACTATACAGCCATTCAAAGATCACAATTAACTGTGCTGTGGGGTTATGGACTCCACAATCTTGTCTTGAAGTAGAATTTAAAAAAAAAAAATTTAATTTTGCCTATGCTGGAAACTGATTTCACTGTGAAAATATTATTCTACAATCACTTCCAAGCAAAAATAAAACTATCCTATAAAGCAAAATCATATTCTTTTAATAACTCTTTGGTTGATGCTAATCTCCAGGAGAGTGATTTATTGTACCTTCTCAGACTAACATTTTCTGCTGACATGAAGTGGAAAAATTATATTGAATCAATTGCTAGGTCTGCTTCTAGGAAATTTGGTTCCCTGAATCTATCTTACATATTTATAAGTCTATCATTCATCCTTGCTTTGAATACAGCTGCCACATCTGGTCCACTAGTCTTGTTATATATTTAGAGATTCTTGATAAACTCCAAAGAAGAATCTGCAAAGTTATTGGTCCTACCCTGGCATCTTGTCTTCAGTCCCTTTCTCATTGCTGTAATGTAGCTTCCCTTTTTTATAAATACTTTCATGGTAATTGTTCTGACAAACTTTCTGTTATGGTACCTAGACTTTATGAGTTTAAGAGCAGTACTATATTGGTGGCAAGGTCACATCATTTCACAGTTGAAATGGCTAAGTCCTATGCTAACGGTTTCTTCTATCACACTTCTAGCTTGTGGAATTCTCTTCTGGTTTCTTGATTACTAGTCAACTTTGATTTTCAAAAACTTCAAAATGCAATGTCAATCTTCTGTTTTCTTAATTCTTGTTCTTTTAATGTTCTCTCCCCTTAAAAGTATTTTTTCTCATATTCTCTAACACCCAGTAACCTCTTGCATCTTAGTGGCTTTATTACTTTGCTTGCGGGGAAATGATTAAAAAAAAATACTTCTCTACCCAATCCACTTCCTAAAATTTGACTAAATATCACTTTTTTAGGACTTCTTGGACCAAGAACTTTTCAGCACTCACTTGTATATTTATAGCTCAAGGCACATATGTATTTGTATACTTTAGTTTTTGTTAGAATATGTAAGACTACAATTATTGCTATTTTAAATTTTTTTTAAGTACCAAGTTTGGAATATTTTAATTTTTGATTATGCTGTTCTGAATAAGATATAAATTGAAATCTAAATATAACTGAATATACTTTCTTGTCTGTTAATCCAATATTGATTGTCAACTGATTTTTTGATTTCTGCCATAACAATCCTGTTTTTACAATGTTTATAGCATTGAACTGTTATAAAGTTTTAACTACTTTTGTTCTGTTTTAGGTCCACCCAATGAAGTTCTCCCATCAATTAACTACAGTTATCTTGGCTCTGCTCCCAAAAAGAATAATCAAGAGAGTGAGTCCTGTCTCCCTAATACAGAAGAAAGTGCTGCAACAACAACTTTAGTTGATGAAGAGCACAAAGAGTCTGGAGCTGTTAAATCAGTTGTCTACAAAGCTTACTGGTCAGCTGTTGGCTCTTTGCTCTCCTTCTCAGTCTTGTTATCATTGTTTCTTATGCAAGGTAAAGTTAACATGAAACTTTCTACAAGAAATTAATTTTTTTTTTTCCTTTTTTTAAATTCATTGATCTATGATCACCATATATGTGTGTGACCTGTATAATAGAATTTGTCCTCTGAGAGAATTTTGGACATGAAAGCAAAAGAAATGGTGAGAAATTGCATTCATTTGTTACATAGACTATTCATTATTTCTACCCGGTGCTTTAGTTGCACATTGAAACTCCACCAGAATGTTATCGAAATATGAACTTTGTGTCAGTTTTTGTCTGGATTTCCAAGATTTGGAATTATCTTTATCAACCTGTGAGGGATGCAAAATTCTGTTATTCCTAAAAACAAAAACATTAAAATATGCATAACACACATCCAAAATCAAATTTATATATAATCAACAAACTAAATTATCTTTATTATAGACTTGATTTATTCAAACTGCCACTTCATTGTATTTGTTACAATCATAACATTTCTCACTGTACTCTGGTTTGCAAGTATCTGTCATATTTGAAAGGGTTCTTGGAATTTTGAACAGAACCCTTTATTCAATAAAAGTCTTCATTCTGTTTTCCATGTTAGGGGAGATACTATGTACTAGTTAATTCTATATTTTGTCCTTTTTGTTAATTTACACTTTGGTGCTGTTTTATGTTCTGCTGAACAGTTGCATATAAATTCCACTGCCTGATTCAGAGATTGATCTTATGACCATCTGATGAATTGCAACCTTTATATTCACTAGGCTATTGTCTTATTGTACAAATCAGGTGTTTTGAAGAAAGTGTTTGGTTTGAAATTCCCAGATTGTTATATAATACAACAGGTACCCCAAGGAAGTATTGTACTCTCCTGTAATATATAACACCTTTTGCATCTGGAACATGAACTTTTATTGTGATCAGCATTTGAATTGATGTGGAGATACACTTATGATTCTGATCTATGTTGCAAGTAATTTATCCAAAATGATGATGATATTTCATCATTCTAAAAATAACCTTTCCACCAGTGATGATTGATGATAAAGATAGTTCATCATCTTGGAAATAAAGATCAAATATTTCATCATTCTAAAGCAACCTTGCCACCTTGATGATATATGATGATGATATTTCATCATTTTATAATCTAAAACTTCATCATTATAAAAATGACCCTTTCATCACAAGCAGAGGGTCAGTAGAGTAAAGTAGAGTGGCAATAAAAAAATAGTAAAAAGGAACAACACAGGTATATTACCATTGCTCCATGAAAACCGATGGTTGACGGTCTCAAAGGCTACCCTTAACAACAAAATTCTTGGAGAAAGCAAAAACAAGTAAGCACAAACTTTTAAAGAAACAAAAGAGACAATAACACTGAGAACATTTTTAATACATACACAATACTAATATTGTAATTAGCATCACAAAAAGAAAAATACACATTCTTGTCATTAATGTCAACACCTGCCTCAAAATCTTATTGTTTATGTTATTGTACATTTTACTCATTTCATTTTCAGTAAAAAAAATAGAGTAAAGGAATCCTCTATCAACTACAAATACATATAACAATGTGGTAATTTATATTAACGAACACAATATACTACACATCCATCCCATTACAATTCCATCCACTTTGTCTTCAAAATTAATGCCTTGATTCTGTTATAGGCTTGATTTGGGGATGGGGGTTGTATATTTTCAAATTTTAGCCAAGAAGATCTACATAAAATGTGATTTCATGTGGTATGCTTGTCCCTTGTAGGCAAGCAAGGCAAGACAAATGTCAATACAGTTTACATTTTTTTTATAGTAAATAGAAAGAATATCCATTAATGTCATAATACAATAATAATAAAAAGTACATGCATATATTATACATTTCAATTACTTAATGTACTTATGTTAGGTGTATATTGTGCACCATTATATGGCTGGTAGCTTAATCACTTTGTTTTGGCTCTTGAGCCTATGTGTTGAATGCTAAATGAATGATTTAATATCAGATTTGGATTTAAAATATTTTTAAGCCCTTGTTGGGATGAATCTTTGATTGAATGTTAGTTAACATATGACTAATTGGTTGACTAATAGGAGAAAGAGCATATAGTGTGTGTTTGTGCACATGCACACATGTATTAAGTATGTGTACATATAATATGTAGTAATTAGGTGACAGAATAGAGAGAATAACAAATATGTCTATGATATATATGCACACAACATAGATAAATTTTCTTTTTTTTTTCATTTCATCCAAAGCAAGGCAATAAAACCACTAAGATGCACAGGGTTACTGAGTGTGAAAGAGAATAAGAAAAACATTATTAAAGAGAGCAAAAATAAAAGAACAGGAATTAAGAATACAAAACTTAACAACTGACATTGCTTTTAAATTTTTGAAGATCAAAGTTGACTGCGAAGGAAGAAGCTGTAAGAGTTCTACAAGTGAGAAATACAAGAGAAAAAACTTAGCATAGAACATACAGTTACATCTAGCCATTTCAACTGTAAAATGATGAGACCTAACTGCCAATCTAGTACTGCACTTAAAGTTGTAAAGTTGAGGTTTGAAAAACAAAAGCTCATCAATCAATTACCACAAAAATATTTATAGAAAAGGCACAGGGAAGGTATGTTATGGTGTTGGGAAAGTGACTTGTGGGGAAAATAGAAACGGCCTACCTCACAAACGTTCTCGCATCTGTCTGGCCTGTGGGTTGAGAAAGGAAAGAAAAGATTCAAAATGGCGTCCGTGACTTTTAATATTCACGGTCTCGTGCAGTCACGCAAAGTCGCGTTACACACATGCTAATGAGGTGTGTCTGGGCTCCATAAAAGCAGGTTGCTTGGAGACATTGGCAGACCAACATTTCACCCGTGCTTGGTGTACATCGTTTTGCGTTGCAGCGTGTCAGACATTTTCAGGCGGAAAGAGTTGCGTCCCTTACACTGTTTAAGTCGACTCATTTGCTACAAGCTATTTCGGCAATTATTACAGCATGGACAGATTCGACTTGAAGTTAATACCAGAGTTCGACGGCTCCCCGCTGGCCCGTCTGTGGTTGAGTGGTGGGAAAAGGCGGCGGGTCTGCCGGCTGTGTAAAATTAAAAGATCCCGCACTGGTTATCCCTCTTAGACTCACCAAAGGAGCTTACGCTGTGTATCAGCAGCTAAGGGATAGCGAGAACTTGGAGGAAATAAAACAAGCTCTATACACAGCATTTGGTGCGGACCCCTTTGTCGCCTGGAGGCAGTTTACCGAGCAGCGGCTTGGACCGGATGAAACAGTAGATGTCTTTCTGGCCGATTTGAGGAAGCTGGCCGCACCGTTCGTGGAGCAAGCGACCAAATCCTGGGATGCGCCTTTCTGGCAGGACTCCCAGACAACGCAAGTCGACTGCCACGAGCATCGTCAAGGCTCAATGAGCTGGGGCTAGACGAATTACTGGCCAGAGCCGGAATATTCTAAAAGATGACGCGGAGCCGGCCTCAGCAGCTGTGGAAGCACCCGCACCGCCAACTGAGGACATAAGGTGCTATAAGTGTGGGCGGACTGAACCACTTCTCCAAAGACTGCCGAAGCGGTGCGCGAGGATATGCATAACCGAGGAACACGGAGGCGTATGCGTTGCTACAGGTGCGACAAGCTGGGCCCACGAGCAAGAAGCTGTCCGGGAACGGGCAGGGGAGTGCTTCTGGCGCCAGTCTTCTCCCAGATCGCCGCTGAACAAAGGCGCTACCCGCAGTGAGCGTGCGGATTCGCGGGCGTGGCGCCGGCGCTTGTTGACACCGGTGCACCCAGACCCTTGCGCAAGGCATGTTGTGACACGTGGGACAAGAAAAGTATTCCAGTTCTGACTGTTGGCGGGGCTCGCTAACCTCTTGTGGAGTGAGCGTCATCTGCGCAAGCATCGGCGATGGGTCTGCAGTAGCTGTACAAGCCCTGGTCGTGGGACGGAGGGCTGCTCGGCTATGATCTGCTCCTGGGAATGGGCGTCATCAAAAAATTGGGTGGTGTCCGTGTTGACGAAGAGGGTCGGGCGCGTTTCACTGAAACAGGTCTAGCTCTAGGTGCAGCAATGGAGCTGAACGGCCTGACTTTCGTGCGGAGTTCGACCAGCGCACAAAAGTCCTGGGCGGTATCTTGAAATGGTCAGGCGATCAACCGCCAGAGAAGCTGTACAACAGTGTGCGGAGTATAAGATCCCCCCAAGCTCGTGCAGAAATGCGACAAGGAATTGTGAGCCTGGATTAATAACGGGTGGTTGGTTCCTTATCCAGAGAAGGAATTGGGGCCCCAAAGGGCCTGATCCCGCTAATGGCGGTTCTCCAGCACAACAAACAAAAAAGTGAGGCGGTGCTCGACTATCGAGAACTGAACGAGCACGTGGACCCTTTTACTGCCCGCGCGGACGTGTGTACCGAGAAGCTAAGGGAATGGCGACAAGCAGGACCAATCACTGTGGCCCTATCAAACCGTGCTTATCAAGGGGCAACGGTATTGCCTGACCCGCATGGGGTTTGGACTCAATGTGGCGCCATCGATTATGCAGATGATTGTTGACGCCATTCTAATGAAGGATGAGCGCATACAGCGGGCAACATCTGCATATATTGATTACGTGAACGAGGGAGTCATATCTGCGGTACGCATGAAGGAGCATCTCTACAACTTTGGCCTCCTCAGCAAGGAACCGGAGAGACTACAGGATGGTGCACGGGTGCTTGGTTTACAGGTCTGGGGAGAAGATGACGTCCTGTATTGGAAACGGGGAAACGAACTCCCAGACATGCCCTCCGTTATCCTTGGGCGAAGCATATTTTCCTTGTGCGGCAAGTTAGTTGGACACCTTCCTGTAGGTGGCTGGCTGCGTGTTGCGGTGGCGTTTATCAAGCGGAGAGCATCTGACGTCACCACTGGATGGGATGACGAAGTTCACGACGCCCCTCTCAACACCATGATGAAGGAGGTCCTCGCCAGAGTACGCAAAGGAAGACCCAGCGCGGGGCAGATGGTGCGTTGACAGCCAAGACCTCTGTGTGTGTGGGTTGACGCAAGCTCTCTTGCAACCGGCGTGTCGATAGTTCACGATGGAGCCGTGGTAGAAGATGCTTGCTGGTTCGCCCAGAAAGGGACTCCCAGCACATAAACCTAGCGGAGCTCGATGCTGTCATCAAGGGGATCAACTTGGCGATCCTCTGGAAGTCGACCACCCTGCGTCTGTTCACTGATTCCGCTTGCGTTTATAAGTGGATCTCTGATACCTTGACCGGGAGGGCCAGGGTGCGGACTAAAGCCACCAGCGAGATGCTTATCCGACGGCGGCTCGACCACGATCGTGAATTTAGTGCAAGAGTATGCACTGACAATGGAGGTGTCCCTGGTCAAATCTAGCCTCAACAAAGCAGATTGTTTAACGAGGGTGCCGCAAAGGTGGCTTGACGCCGCTTAAGAAAGCCATTGAACCCGTGCAACCAGCCTGCGCTGCGTCCGTGAGTCCCGTTCGATTTAATCAAATCAAAGAAGTCCACCAACAAAGTGGGCACCCTGGAGTCAAGCGGACACTGTATTTTCGCCAAGTTGGTTGATCCAGGAGTACAAAAGACAGACGTCAGGAGAGTGGTCAGAAGCTGCGTGGCGTGCCAGTCTATAGACCCAGCACCCGTTCGCTGGAAGAAAGGGCAGCTGGCGTGAGGAACCACTGGAGCCAGCTGGCGATAGATGTTACTCACCACAACGGCGAAGCATTTCCTGACACTCATTGATTGTGGTCCATCCAGGTTTTGCGATATGGCGACTGCTGCGTCGGCAAGATGCAGCCACTATCATCCGTCAGTTAAACAGCATCTTTCTTGAACGTGTCCCCCTAACGGAGATATTAACCGACAATGGCACCGCATTCACCAGCGGGCAGTTCGGGAAGTTTGCGGATGGCTGGGGAGTGCACTTATGGTTCCGTGCGTACGTACCAGTGGAAATGGAATCATCGGCGGAACCACAGGACCGTCAAGACCATCGCAGCCAGGACGGGCTGCGCGGTGTCTGAGGCGGTCTACTTATACAACGTGACCCCGAAGGATGATGTCTCACCTTCTGGCGCCAGCAGACACATTGCATAGGTACCACGTTAGAGTGAAGGGCATAGAAACCAACCCACTGACGGAACTGAAAGTAACCGGAGAGAGGCTGAAGAAAGGCGATGTCGTCTGGGTTAAAAAATCCGCACAGCAAGTGCACAACTCTAAACACGGAATCGGACGCGTCACTGAGGTGATCAGCCCACAGGCGGCACGGGTCGATGGTGTGCCCGTCACGTTAAGGACCTGCGTCCGTCGACGCAGTTGCAACCACCGCTGGACGATGAGAGCGAATCGGAATCTGAGACCAGTGAGGCATCGCTCTGGTTCACGCCAGCCCCATCAGGCAGTATTTCCGGATATCAGTAGCCTTCCAAGGGACGCGGTGTCTTTCGACCCTCAGACCTCAGACAGGAGCACAAGCAACGATGAGGCTCGAAGCGTCCCTCTTGAAGAAGTACCCAGCACAAGCGATCACCACCTCCCTGTCAACTCTGTGATCATGAGATCAGGGGAGTGTGAGGAAAAAAGAAACGCCTACCTCACAAACGTTCTCGCATCTGCCTGGCCTGTGGGTTGAGAAAGGAAAGAAAAGATTCAAAATGGCGTCCGTGACTTTTTAATATTCACGGTCTCGTGCAGTCACGCAAAGTCGCGTTACACACATGCTAATGAGGTGTGTCTGGGCTCCATAAAAGCAGGTTGCTTGGAGACATTGGCAGACCAACATTTCACCCGTGCTTGGTGTACATCGTTTTGTACATTTTCAGACGGAAAGAGTTGCGTCCCTTACACTGTTTAAGTCGACTCGTTTGCTACATGACTGATGACCAGAAGCCCCAAACAAGATATGACAGCAATATTCAATGTATGGATGAATGATAGACTTATAAATGTGTAAGATAGATTCTGGCAAGAAAAATTATCTATTACAACACAGTGAACCAAATTTCCTAGAAGCAGACCTAGCAATTGATTCAGTATAATCTTTCCACTTCTTGTCAGCAAAAAGCCAAAGCCTGAGAAGGTACAATGAGTCACCCTCCTGGAGGTTAGCATTAACCATATTGATGAAAGGGAAAAAAGCTTCTAAAGAGAGTAGTTCTGTTTTGGAGGTATTAAAATTAACAAACCATTTCTTGTCCGAGTTAATAGATTGTAGTTCATTGACTTATGACTTTTGTTATTTATATTGAGGCCTGAAAAGATCTCAAATCAATTGGCTTGTAAGAGGAGAATCATCAAAATATTCTTTCCTGTGGTCAATTCACCTAAGTCTTTAGATGATCCTTAACTAATTGCAAGATTATTTTGTAATTAAGTTAGTATGTTACTGTCTATATGAAATTACCAGCAGAGAATACACACTGATGTTTTATATTACAGCCTCAAGAAATGCCAATGATTGGTGGTTATCTTACTGGGTCAGCCATTCACATTATCCATCGGACACTATTGAATCCTCCCATATATCACACAGTAATTTATCTGAGATCTCTAACAGGTAAAGATTTAATTACTATATTCTGTTTTTTTTTCCCATATTTCTTGCTTCTATCAACTTAAACAATGTGTTTAATTAAATCTGACTTGAAGTTCAAATTTTCTTAGGATTGTAACAATTGAATTGATTTCTTTCCTATTTTTGAGGATCAGAGTTTTGTACTGAGACCATCAATTTACACTATTTACATTGTTCGGACTGTTGTCCTCATCTTTATTGTCATATTCGTGACATTTCAGCCATCTTCAGGTGATATATGTTGAAATTTTGAACCAAACCTTTTATTTAGTCCACAGGGGTAGATTGTTCTAGTTCCACATGCCATGCCTTTTCTGGATATCTCAGTTTCAGTTAATTCCCTTTAGTAACTCAACTCTCCAAGTTTTTGTTCACCTCTGCCAGGTATTACTCACAACTCTTTGGGTCAAGTCAATTTTGGATTACTTCAACCAATGCTTTTATCCACTGAACCATGTGTCCTAAGGGAGTTCAATACCTAGCCACAGAAGAGGTAAACAAAAACTTGGAGAGTTAATTATTAAAGGGAATTAACTGAAACTGAGATATCCAGAAAAGGCATGGCATGTGGAACAAGAACAATCTACCCCTGTAGATAAAGGGTTTAGTTTAAATTTCCAATGTATATCACCTGAAAAAGGCCGGAGCATACAATAACCAAAATGTCGGGAATATGACAATCAAGATTAGGAGAACAGTTTGAACAATGTAAATAGTGTGAATAGTTACAATACCTCATCTCGGAAATATAAACAGATGAAACCATCAATTTTGAAACCAGTTTTTTTTAATTTTATCATTTTCAAATTCATTTAACTATGCAAAGAAATGAATTCAGTTATTTTGGTCATTCAGCTTCACTGATTGTGGATTTTTAGATGCAAAATCATTGTCACAGAATTGATAAAAGTGTCAATTATATTGACAGTTGATATCAGCATGTGTACTGAATTAGAAAAACTGACTTTAAATTATTTGGCTTTAAAACATGTTTATGTTAAATTGTAGTTCCAGTTTTATATGATGCAAATGTAAGAACTGGAAATGTTCACAATCTTGAACTAAATTCTGCTCAATATAATGAAAACTAAATTTAAAAATAATTGGAACTCTTGACTCATGTTTGAAACTTGGAATTTTATTGGTTATTATTTTATTTCCTTTGATTTTTGATGTATACATATTTCTTGATGGGTCCTAACCAGAGACCTAAGGTTAGAAATGGCATCATCAAATTTTCCACTGAACATTTAAAAAAAACAAAAAGAGACCTAAGATCATACACATTTAACATAGATAAAGCCCTTCATAAGATGTGAGCTGTACTTGTGAATACAATTTTTTGTATTTCTTTAGAGGATGGGCTACCAGGGATCTCTTCAGTGAGTCTATCAGAACCTTTTCCAATCAAACCGAGGGCTCCAACTACAACTGGAATTATTGATGTCCTCATGTACTACATTTTTGAGATTTTAATTTCAATGTCCTTGTACTTTGATAGTTTTTTTGAAGATCTTCAAAGATAGATTATGGTCTACAGGAACTGCCATGTCAAGGCATATTCTGTTTTTGTGGTCTCTGATCACAATGTCTTTGATTGTTCAGTCTGTGTGTATTGTAAAATCCCATAAAATTGTTACAGGTCCTATGTCTGTAACTTATTAGTTATCAAATAAATCTCTTTTTTGAAGAGTTCTGATTTTTCTGTTTATTTCATAATCCTTGAGGAAGTACAATGACTTTTGTGAATGATTTTTTTAATTTTTTTTTAGATGGTTCCAACCAGACAACAACAACTTACCTTTAACCAATATCACTGATGGGCACGACAATATGAATTTCTATCTTGGCATTTATGGCGGATTGGCTGCTATTAATTCTGTATTTGCTTTCTTCCGTGCATTTTTATTTGCTTATGGAGGTTTAAAAGCTGCCAAAGTTATTCATAATGATCTTCTGAAAACAATACTTAAGGTTTGTAATTCCATTCACTCAGAAATAATTGTGGATTATTCTTTTTAATCTTTACAACTCATGAAATAAAATTATTTAAAATTGGCAATAAACTACAAGATTCATATTAAGAAATTCATATAAAATTAATATATTTATTATCAGCCCATTGCAGGACTTGAACTTTCCTCAAGATCTGTCAGAAATAGGGTCTAATGGCCCTTACCTTGCCTCACTGGCAATGAATTGTTGGTAGGGGATTTAAATTCAGAACTGACCAATGTTTAAGAGCTCAATGTACTAGAGATGAATTTCCCAAGGGTATTAGTGAAAAGTGAATGTAGCAGCTTTGCTTGGAATTTGAACTCTACCTGCCAAATATATTTTTTATTTCCTCTCTGTCTCTAGCTATATTTTCACACACACTCAAGTGTGTGTGTATGTATATATATATATATATATATATTGTTTGTAAATAAGTACATCAATAAGTTTGTAGCTTAATGATGAAAAAGCACTTATTTTATACAAGAAATATTTTTCAGCATATCCTTCCTTGTCAATGCAAGTGATTTTAATTCAGTGATAAATATTACTCACAGCATATTTTACAGCAAAACATTCAGATCAAAATTCATCAAGTAACTATTTGTCAAGCTCCAGACTGTTGATCCACTCTTATAAGTGTGCGTACATGTGTGTATGCTCAAATCACACTGAAGGCTCTAGTTCTTGTTCGATTGCCAAAGTTAAGCAGTGTTGATCTTGGTCAGTAATTAGATGGAGGACTGTTTGAAGACACAGGGTACTGTAAGTAATGGGTGAGTGATCCCTGATAAAAAAATCCCACCTTTGCAATTGAGGAGGGGTATGAGCATAAAATAAGGTCACTGACATTACATCTTACATCCACTTGGCAGAGGAATGCCACTGACAATGACAAAGGGATACTGTTTCTAAAATGCCAAAACTGCAAACTTTGGTAGAGTTTAATGTACAAAGTTTACTTGGATTACAACTGAAAATCTAATGTTTTATTTTGAGGAAGAGACTATATACTTTGTAAAATCATTTTGCTATTTGTTTCTTTGTATTAGTGAATAAAATTAACATGTTCAGTTATATCTTTGCTCAAAAATGATATATTTCAAGGATATGTAATTTGGTTTTGTTTATTTTCATAGGCTCCAATCAATTTCTTTGATACCACTCCTATTGGACGGATTATCAATCGGTTCTCATCTGATATTTTTACCATTGATGACAGTCTGCCTTTCCAACTCAACTTACTATTGGCCAATGTGTACAGTCTACTTGGTACTCTAGTTATTATATGCTATGGTTCACCCTGGTTTTGTGTGCTTCTTGTCCCTCTTGGTTTTTTATATCACTTCATCCAGGTAAGTAACATTTTTAGAACTTAGGTGAAACAACAAAGCTGCTTTCCCCCTTTGACTCTTTACCAATTAGATTTGCACTTAACTATATGTTGATTACAGTCATCATATTAGATAAAAAAAAACCCTAATTTGACAGGAATTGATGTCAACAACAGTCTGAACTACTCTTTATCAATAAATAATTAAACCAGAGTTCAATAATCTGAATTTAAGTGCCCATTAATGAAACCGCAAACCTATTTGAAAAACAGAAAACAATTAATTTGTTTTTTCTTGGCACAGTTTGTGGTGGAGCCTCTATTCCATCTGAAGTTTACAAAAGGTTGGTCTCATGGCTGCATCAACTTTATCTAATTATATGTGTATTGAAGTCAGTTTGGCAACAGTTCAAGAATTTCTTGATTCTGTTACTTTATAAACAGAAGGAGGAATTGAAAGGGCTTGAGAACTGAGGCTTTTCAAAAGGGCAGCATTGAAATTGACATTAGATATTGAATGGATGGTGATTCAACTTCAGAATGTTTCAAGTAATGTTGAGTCTCACCAGGGAGAACAAATTTATCTGTGTAGGAATTACACTATTTCTGAGAGTCACTATTGCTGATATTATCAACACAAAAATTGCAAAGGCTAACATGGCCTTTAGCAATGTAGGAAACAAAAGAGGTACCACTATAAAAGTTAACATGTCTATAACATAACTAAAGTAGCTTAACAGTTTTTATTATCCATCTAAACATATATGAACATACAAGTTCTAAAACCTTTGTCTGACTAGAATGATCCTCATTGGCTCAAAAGCTGGGCAACATAGTATACAGTCTTTTGTTGATGTAGAAAGCTTGAATAGATGTTGCTATGTAGCAAAGAGCTTCATTTCCATTTGAAAAGGTAAAATGGAAACAAAATTCATAACAAAATAGGAATCAGTGGAAAACTGACAGATAAAAGGATGTGAGATGGAAAAGAAAGTATATTCAATGCTTAAAAGACAAAGGACAATGGATTTCTGTTAGATAAGGTAGGCTTGAATACAAGTCTCCCTAACAAATGTCTCTTCACTTCTGTCTATATTGTAAAGGCATTTTCTGAAACCCTTGCAAGAAGAATGTATTTAGCAGTGGTGAAATGAAAGATAAGTTTGTGCAAGTACAATAGCATGAAGGGGCATAAAATGCTTGTTACAGGATAGAAGTTACATGTAACTCAGTTGTCATGTTACACAATCTGATGACATTTGTGGAGCAACAAATAAGGATTAAATTTACTATCAATAGCTTATAAGACACTGCATGACTATATACTGAATCTGTTCTGTATAGGCAAAAGTTCCCAGCATAAAACTACAGACTATATTTTGAGCACAATTTTCAAAAAACAACTCAAGAAGCCTTTGCATGCATCTTCTACATTCATTTTGGGTATTGTAATAATTTTCCCTACCTTGTGATATTTTTAATATAAAATATATGTTTCATTTCAGTTTCTACCAAGGCCATTGTAAGTATGGCCTTCGTTTCTACCCATTGATTTATATCCGAATTTACCATTATATTTTTGATCTTACAATCATATGGCTGTACTGATAAAGTAGTCATGTAGTATAAAAGCCTGAGGTCATAATGATTGCAATAAGTTCAAGCACAGACTAAACATGTTTATAGCAGCCTGAATCCTAAAAATCAAACACTTTCGTCATTAGAAGCAAAACAATAAATGGCTCTTTATACAGATATGCTCTGATATCAACTTGAAATCTTCTGATTACTTTGTTTATATCATCCATAAATATATTGAGAATAATTGGGTTCATGTATAATTGTAAGGATTAATCTTTTTTTGTCCTCATTTTCATCTTCTGAATTTTTTAATATTATTTTCTTTCTTTGTTTTTTAGCAATATTACCGACACACATCTCGAGAGATCAAACGTATTTCAAGTATAACCCAATCCCATATTTATGCACACTTCTCAGAATCACTGACAGGATTATCAACCATTAGAGCATTCCGTGAAGGATTCAGGTTTGTCTTATCAAATTCGATTGCGTGTACTCAACTAGGTTTTCGTTCTTTTTTTTTTTTAATGTAAGTTGTTTATTCCTTAGCCTTCTTCATGGGTGAAATCTTTTGCCATTATTAACAAATACAAAAATTCCACATCAAGAAGACTAGAGAATGATTCAGTGAGACCAGAAGAAAATTAATAAGCAAATAAAATGATTAGGATATTACTTGGAATTTATTGTTAGAGGAAACATTGTCAGATTTTAATGTTTGAATTGTATTTATTTAATTATTTCTGTTGCTTTTTTACATCAAATATCAGGCTGTCATTTTCTGCTTTATAGAAAGCAGCTTGTGCTGGAAATAAAGAATAAATATTTGGTTAGATTCAAACTCATATCTCTTTTTTGATATTTCATGATAAGCAAAAAAAAAAAAAAAATGAAAGAATTGCCAGTCAAAAATGAATAATTGTCACTACTTCATCTAATAAAAATCCACACCATTATTAAAAATATATATAAATATTAATGAAAAATAGTGGCTTTGGGGGGAAAAGAATGAAAACTATATGGTTACATTTAAGGTTCTGCGACCGGTAGCCTAAATAGTAAGACAGCTTCCCCAGACAGGCAGGCTTCCTGAAGCACAAAGGACACAAGTTCTAGTCTTTCAGGAGATTCCTTCTTTCTGATCCGCACCACTTACTCAAGACCATAGAATGAGGACATGGTAACTGTAATAAAAGTCAACAGAAATAAGGTGGAAGAAATACTAGTCAAAAATGTATAAGCTAGAATAATTAAAAAAAAATAATTACCATCTATAGTTTTGAGAAGTGTCGTTATCAATCTAAGAGTTGTTCAACATATTGAACTCATTCTTGAAGAGCATTCTTATGTATAAAATATATAGAATTATTTGTGTAATTTTGTTTTGGCACAAGGCTACAAGTATAGGGCACACTGTAGAGATTGAACTCACCATACTGTAGTAATTGTCAACTAGATTAATCAATTACCCCATTCTTAATTTAGCTGATTAATATTTTTTTTTTTTACTGAAGGTGAAGTCATACTTTCAGAATAATTTTCTTCATTTAAAGATTTGTAAATCCCATTCCTCAAAAATATTTTATACAGATTGAATGAACTTAAATATTCATTCTTCATTTTGTTTTTTTTCTTCACAATTTAGATTCCAAGAAGAAAATCTTTGCAAATTGGATGACAATCAACGAGCTATGTTTGCTGGCCTGACTGCTTCCTGTTGGTTGGACTTTCGACTGCAGATTATTGGTGTGGCTATGGTTTCAGGTGTAGCTATTATTGCTGTTCTTGAACACCATTTCCAGACCGCAAATGCAGGTAGGCTAACCTCAGAAAATCACATCAGATCCTAGCTTTGCTATGGATAAACATTCATATTTTTTTTTTTTTTTTCAGGCATTTTTTTATTCTCATTATGAATTTTTATTTCCAAGAAAACATTGATTCTATTTTTGCCCCAGTGGCATCATAGTATATAGGGTCCCATAAGTTGGAACTCTTGCTCATCTTTGGTGTATGAGGAAAAATGACAAACTGCACATCCAGAACATGTTGAATACATTGTGTTGCCATTCCTGTAACAGAAAGGTGATGTGCTGTTCAACTTACAGCGTACATGTGCTTCTTAAAATGCTCTGCAGAGTGTTTGAAAATGTCTCTGGATAGCCTAATTACCAGACCTGTCTCTCCATTAAGCATATATAGGACATGATGAGATGGCATCTGGCACATTTAATTAGCCCACCTATAACTCTTGGTGTATTGCATCAAGTGTAAGAGGTATGAAATAATGTATTGCAGGATGGTATTCACTATCTGTACAATTGTATGCATGCCAGAGTACAGACCCTTATTAATGCCAAAAGATAGACAGTGTATTAATATGGAGTTTGAGTAATTTTGATATACACCTTATTTCTTAAATAGTAAACTTCTTGATCTCTATATGTGATCATGTGCTATAACTCTTTATATTTATAGCTTAAGTAAATTGAAGCACATATTCTGGGTCTTGCAATTTTTTGTTATTTTCTATTTTTTTAAAATTTATTGTAATCATTCTTAGGATTAAACTTAATGAATTGTTGCTATTCATATATTTAATAATTCTTGATTATGACTTGAATAATAATATTTACTTGTTTGTATTAATTTTGATTCACAAAATGTTTTATTTTCTAATCTTACAGTTTTGGTTGGATTGGCACTCACATATGCTCTGTCAATCACAAAACTCCTCAATGGAGTTGTCCTTTTCTTCACAGAAACAGAAAAAATGATGGTCAGTGTGGAAAGAGCTTATCAGTATATTGATAAAGTACCTCAGGAACGAGAGATTGGCCTTAATATGGTACGTAAATCTTTTAGTAATTGTCGCATAACAGTATTTAAGTCTGGTTCCTGCTTTTCAATATTTCCAATTCATAAATAATGTACAATATAAGAGTGAACTTATCTGACATCCTTAATATGACTTGAATGAAGTTGTTCTACTTTAAAAGGCTTCCTGCTTTCTACTGTTTTCTGTTGCGCCTGTATTTGAGAGGTGACAATCCTGGAAAAGAATTTAATTTTGTTCTAAATTTATCTAAACCAATTTTATCTTAATGTATTCAGCTAAAAAAAAAAAAAAGATGAATTTAAAATTGAAAGGAAATGACTTACTTACAAAAATATGTATAAACTTTCAGAACTTGAGATATTACATCCTTTTAATATAAAATGAAAAAATAATTTTCTATGGAATTTTTAATTTTTATTCTTAATTGTAAAATGGTTAAAGTAAATTTAACAAAATAATCTTAACATTTATTATCGACCAAAATATGTAGACATTGCTTTCTTTTGCAAATGTGCTTAATGTTCATGAAAATAATTTCTATACTTATTTCTCATTCAGCCGGCTTCTTCATGGCCGCAGCAGGGTTGTATCACTTTCAGACGTGTCCACTTGCAATATCGACCTGGCCATGCATATGCCCTTAATGATGTATCTTTTGAGACTCGAGCTGCTGAAAAAATTGGTATTGTTGGTCGGACTGGATCTGGAAAATCATCCCTGTTCCTGGCCATTTTCCAAATGGTTGAACTGAAAAAGGGAGAAATTCTTATTGATGGAATTAATGTGGCAAGTGTTGATTTGGACATTCTAAGGTGGGTACCAGACTCTTTCATTTTTTTAATATCTTTACCCCTTTTGTATACACAAACCAAACTAATTGGACTGTTTTAAAGAGAAATTTCAATTTTCTAGCCTTCTCGAGAATGCATTACACAAACAGTGATCCTTTTTCTTTCTAAATTTTGTCAATTATATTCATTTTTTTCTTTTCTCATTTTGCTATAAAACCATGCATTTTTCTTTTCTTTTTTTAATTTTCTTCAGGTATATTTTCATTACATGAACAAAATGTTTCAATTAGCAATTTCTTCTAATCATCAGAAAAAAAAATGAATCACTTGAAATGAAAATTGTAATTTAATTTGTGATGTTATTTTCTGGTTGTACTGTGTAATCAAATCTCTTTTGAATGTCGAGGAAAAAAGATATTTTTTGTGCATTCATCTTAGAAAATACTCATCTTGTCATCAAAATAAAATGTATGATGTATGTGGGGGAGTGATTTATCCTCTGAGTGTAAATAACACTACATTGTGATTACCAAACTTTTAAGAATTTGCTGACATTTTATCCATTTGGCTGTTTGTAAAAAGTGATTTTTTTTTCCCTATTTTTTAAAAGCTAAAAAAACCCTCAACTAATAATAAAATGTCTGACCTTTGTGTCTTATACTTCTTATGTGAATTAAATTCTGATAAGACTAAATGTTTATCTTTGTTTCAGGTCACGGTTAGCTATAATCCCTCAAGATCCATTTCTATTTAGCGGCTCAATACGTGAAAATCTAGATCCTTGCGGCATGTGTGACCAGGATCACGAACTTTGGTTGGCATTGGAACGTTGTCATTTACGAGATGTAATCGAGAAACTTGGTGGTCTTGATGCTCAAGTGTTGGAACAAGGCAAAAATTTTTCTGTTGGTCAACGACAATTGATGTGTTTAGCCAGAGCTTTGCTGACAAAAGCCAAGGTAAGTAAAAAAAAAAAAATTAATTTACTGTCTTGATTAATTTTAAAAAGTAAAAATGATTTGATAAAATACAAGATGGACCTTTTTATTTTTTTTCTGATATTTTCTCTCAAAAGAAAATATGAAGAAATATTCTGATCAGCAGGAATTTTTTTCTTCTTGAAGTGAAAATATCAGGAAGAAAGAATAAATTGTATTGATTCTCAGTTTTACTATTGACAACTGCAACTAACATAGATGTTCATGGAGACAAATAGGTAGTTTTAAAGAAATTATATATAATAGCACTATTCTGTCAGTAACACTTGCCTTAATTTCTAACCACCGACAGTTAATTTCTTCCTGTGTTACAATAGTAAAATCATTATTAATTTCTAACCACTGCCAAAGCTTTCCTTTTTGTTTACTAGGTATAAAAAGGATTGTGTTTTTTCTTCTAAATTTGAATTGTAAAAAACTTATTGAAAACTATCTGTCTATATCTCTGAGATGAGGTATTATGATTATTTACATTATTTGGACTGTTATCCTCATCTTCATTGCCATATTCACAACATTTCATCCTTCTTCAGGTGACTGGAATTTCGAACTGAACCCTTTTATTTCGTCCACTGGGGTAGATTGTTCTAGTTCTACATGCCATGCCTCTTCTGGATGGCTTAGTACATGTCCCAGTGGATAAAGACATTGATTAAATCCAGTGACTAGACTGTGAGTTCAATACCAGGCTACAGTCGTGGTGAACCAAAAAACTTGAAGAGTTGAATTGAAGGGAAATAACTGAGATATCCGGAATTAGAACAATCTACCCTAGTGGATGAAATAAAGGGTTCGGTTTGAAATTCTAATCACCTGAAGAAGACTAGAGCATGCAACGGCTGAAACGTTGTGAATATGGCAATGAAGATGAGGATAACAGTTCAAATAATGTAAATTATTGAAAACTAATTTGCCATTTTGTTATTTTCAAGTATTTATCTTTTAATTTCATTGCCTGTTTTGTTCTAAATAAAACCACAAAAAAGTATTTCTAGAAAACCAACATAAACTGATTTCTGTGTAACTTCATTTGGAATTCAACACTGAGTGTAAATCATTTTTTTAACTTGTTTTCCAGATTCTGTGCATTGATGAAGCCACTGCAAGTATTGACCATCAAACAGACCAACTCATACAGCAAACAATTCGGACAGAATTTGCAAACAGCACTGTGATGACCATTGCACACAGAATCAACACAATAATGGATAGTGACAGCATTTTAGTCATGGACAATGGTCAAATAGCTGAGTTTGCACCTCCAAACACTCTCCTTAAGGATCCTGAGTCTCTCTTCTACAAACTTGTTTATTCAGACCGGTAGTCATTTCTTTTGTTTTTGTTTTTTTACAAGAAATACTGAGAGAATACCAGAAATTCAACAATGCAAGAAATATTTTTGAAAGAAAAAAAAAAAAAAAAATGATCTTTTCTCAAACACAAAAAGTAGAACCGGAAGAACTGTGATTATTTTCCAAGTGGGATTTTTGGTTTCTCTCTTGTTTTTTTTTTTTTTTTTTTCTACTGGAGACATTGCTTGGTTGACTGGCTGGCTGAAGGATTTGGCCACTACCTGCACGTATCTGTGATTTTTAAATGAAAAAGAATTGTGATAACCGTGAAGAGCCTAACATTGACAATTTCTTCATAAACGCTGACACCTAACAAGAGTGCTGAAATCTTTCTCTTTTCCTCTACATCTCAATATCCCTCCACATTTATTTTTTTAAAAAGAAACTTCTTTTTCAATTTTCGATTTACTGCTCTTTTTTCTCTCCCACCCTGTCACAACTCTCCTATATATTGTCTCTCTGCTTTTAATATCTTCCATTCTTTTCTTTTTCCCCGCTTTTCTTTCATCTATTTTTTAGATTTTTTCACTCGTCATTTGCTGTGTGTGTGTGTGTTTTTTTGTTTTTTTTTCATATTTAATGTCAATAGGTTTTGTGTTGTCAGGGAAAGTCTGTCTAATCATTCCAACTTGTTTTAACATTTCTTTGCTCAACTAGCAAAGTAAGAGAAGCTGAGGCCAAGTAAAAACTCCCACTGGTTCACACCTTTGGTCACCCACCAACACTTTCTGCTGTTAACATGGCACCAGTAAGCATTCAATTATCCTAAATCTTTTGTGACCTGCAAAATTAATGAAGTACTTGGTGAGAAATGGTTCATGTCAGAATTCCAAAAGTAGATGATTGGAGCAAACAAATGCATAATCACTTGTGTGTATATCTCCCTCCCTCTCCATATATATATATATATATATATATATATATATAAAAAAAACAATCCCGTCTTTTTTTGTCATTTACCTTTTCTCTTTTCATATAAATTTTTCTCTTTCTGTATGTCTTCTGCATATTTCACTTCATCTCTCTCAACAAATGTATATATATATATATATATATATATATAGATATTCCATATGGAATTTCCAGGAGGATATAGATCCAGGTAGAGCTCAAAGAATATCAAACATATGGGATTTTAAGTGTTTGATATTCTTTAATTAATAATATATATATAAGTTCTCAGAATGTATCTGTAGAATAGACAAAATGAATAAAATAGACAATAGGAAAACAATGCTTCATCTTTGCCGATGTGTTTCGTCAACTGACTTTATCAAGGCAAGTAATGATATTATATTGTTTTGTACATGGTATCTAATATAAACAAAAGTGAAATGTTAGTTACTCAAAATTCAAAATTTTATAAGATGCTCATAAATATTCATCAGGTTAAATTAGTCAGTTAGCATCCTTGAAAATTTAAAAGTGTAAAAACAAGAGCCATCAAGTTCAGTATATATGAAAATTAATTGAGTATGTCTTTCTCTAAAAATCTGATTGATTATTTGGACAGATTTTTGGGAGTGGGTCAGGCTCAGAATTTCTCAGTAACTGTGTGTATGTGTGTTAAACAAAATTTTAAGGTGCATATGTTGTGCTTTTATTCATTTTTATATGTTTTGGTAATTTTGGAAAATTTATGTTCATAATTTGTAATCTTTTATTTCCTGGCTACTTTCTTTTTGAAGAAACATACAGTCTGAACATTAATGTAACTAAATTGAAATTGGCTGATTGGATTTAAAAGAAAAAAAAAAACAATCTTAGTGATAAGTGTTGATAACCTTGCTGGAAAAATGACTGTCATAATTAACTGAAAATATTCAAACTGCTCATCAAGAAAATCAGGAATTATATATTTTTTAATTTGTAATTATTTACATTTGAAACATTTAAAGAAAAATTGTATTTTGTTCTTATTTTAATATTGTGTTTTTTTTCCTGTTTTTATTATTCCTTTATTTGTGTTTAATTCTCTATTAGCACCATGCATTCTATTTCATTCCACTTTTGAAGAGATACCCTCTGCATATTGAGTCATTTTTTTTTAATATCACCTTTTTTTTATCATAGGTTTATATTCTGTCCCACCATTTTGTTTGTTACCCAGGCTGATCAACAGATGGCAGAATAGTTCAGTGTGAAAAAAAAAAGAAATGTGCCTCAAAGAATTAAGTGTCATGCCACATGTAGATATAATTTGACTCTCTATTAAGTGAAGAGATTCTAAGATTTTATGAAGAGAAATGTTTGTTTTCTGCTCTCATTCAAAAAACATCTTTAAAAATTAAGCTTAATTCTGATTTCAGCATCGTTGTCTATCTCTTGAATTATTCTAGGGTTATAAACTAATCCCGGGTAATTTTATGTTAACATTAATTGATAGGTTACATTATTGTGATGTCACCGTTGCTTATTTATTTTGTTGTATGTGTCTACCACTTGGTCAAAAATTATCAAGAAAGTATTTTATATATTTTGTTTATATTTGTAAATGAAAGAGTGATGATGTCTTTAACTGCACTGGAAATCACAAACATAAAAGAATTGAAACTGCATAGTTGGCTTTTTTGTGAACGTATTTTATCCGTTTCAATATTTGGCTTGACTGCAAAGTGATGATTCTGCTGAACTGGATGTGTCTGATAAAAAGTTAGGTTCTAAATGAAGTCGTATTGGGATGTCCTTCTATTGTTAGACAATATTTGTGTTCCTTTTTAAATGATATAGGATTTTTTCATTGAAAGTAATTACTTTTTTTAAGAGAATAGGTTACTAACTTGATGTCCAATCTTTTCCTTATTTTGTCAATTGAGCTTGAAAATAGCTATGGGGACTGTCAAGCTGTAGTTTTTTTTTTCTCAAAGTAACCTCTTACAGAACTAAAAGGCTTCAACTGCCTTGCTATTTGCCCATAGCTGAAGGGAGAAGAGGATTCATGCCTTTCTCAAGAGCATAAGTGTGAAGTGAATGTAAGCAGCCTTGGCTGAAATTTGAACATCATTCTTTGTTTTCATTCTTGATATTGATAACCATTGTCACTCAACACTTCTTTATAAATGAAAAGAGAGTATAAATTGGATTATCGTTTTGAACTTTAACAGAAAAAGCTCAAAGCGAATAATTGAGAGGAATTTTAATTTTTTTCCATAGGCAGCACATTCATTTGTTGTCAAGGCACATGAATTCATTTACATTCTTTCTTATATTTTTTTTTTGACAAACTCTGTTTAACTCTTGAAAAATGATTTGTAATATTTATCTTTACTTGAATTTTTAATTTCTTTTATTCCCTGTCATCTATCAGTAGTTTTAACATTTGAAGTAAAGTTATAATAAATTTATTGTCAAATTTAGTCTCCTACCAGACTTGTGCTATCTTTAATTAGTCATTATAAAGACTGACCAAAGATGATAAAATTGTGTAAAAAACACTTTGGGCCTTGTTGTTTACAAGTGTGTTTTTACTAAGAAATAAGGGAGGAGAATAGTTTTGCTTTCTTGAAAAGGAAGAGAGTTCAATGAACTAGTAGAACTGAAGATTTTGAATTTTCTTCATACATTCCATTAGTGGGTTTTGTGTAGACCTTTAGTATGTGTAACAGACTTTGCAGGCATTTGGTTTAGAGCTAGAATTTACAAAAGTTAGGTTAACAATTCAATTGCATTTCCTTAGTAAATAATAAACATTTCACTTGAAGAAGACTGGAGAATGTAAAGTTAAAAAATGTCAAACCTGAAAATAAAAAAAATCATTGAATACAATTTCTTTGTATTTGATAAAAATTCTTCATTGATGATATGATCTTATTTCTCTTTCTTCACTTGAAAATGAATCTTATTTATAGAATTGGATAAAAGGAGCTTCATGACTTTTGTTCATTACCAATTTCAAAAAGGGTTGCTATCTGAAAAATCAGACTAAAAAAAAACAGAATCAAGATCAGACTGACTTGAGTATAATCGTTGACTTCAGCCACCCCAGGTAACATTCCTGAATTGAAATTATTGGAGAGGGAGAGTTACTCTTTCATTATTAGACTGTTTAGATCTCCAACATAAATAATGTACAATTTGTTAGAGAGATTTCCTAAGCTTATAATTGGTTGAAAAAAAAAAAAAATTCCTTTTCCTTTGATTTGCTATTTTTATCATTTTGATGTCTGTTTTATTTGTTATTTACTGTAGAAGTATTATGAAAACTATACTTTATAGAGATTAGTTTGTGTTTAAGCATCATATTATTAATGGGTACTTTTTAATTTTTGTCAACATCTTCAAGTTTTTGATTTTTAAACAACTGCATTGAAATGGAGTTTTTAAAAGTTTCAATAAAAAATTGTTTAGATAATATTTCAACATTTTTAAGCATTTTGACATGAAAGAAGAAAATATCAAATTACCACACAAAAACAGCAATGAAGTTTTAAAATTTTACAGACAGGCATTTTCCTGTAAAGTAAAAAAAAAAAAAAAAATAAATAAATAAACACTCTTTATAAGAAAACCTGGCAGCTTGAAAAGTGGCAATTTTATGAAAACTTTAAGTTTGTGAACTTGAATGATTTGGTTTTCTATAACTTTGGAAGCCCAAGAACAATACAGAGAAGATGCATCAAGTAAAATAATATGTAAAGAGTGTATGTAGTGCAAGAATGATAGATTTGATATATTAAAATCTCATTTGCATATTTCCCCCTCAAGGAATGAGACCAGCATTTAGAATAAAAGGAACATTTTTGTCCATGTAAAAAAAAAAATGAATCTTCATTAAAATAATTTGTCAAAATTTTATATCTAGTAAAACAAAATTGGTCAAAAGTATTTTTATTATATTTAGTGAGTAAAAAAAAAAAAAAAAATGTTTTCATAATGAGCTTTTTTTCCCCAGCATCAAAAATTTTTTTTTTTTTCTCTTAACATCAACTTTGGAAATTTATTCATCTTCACCTTTGAGGCTGTCTTTCTTTAT